AAAGTATCTTTCTATATTTAGTTTTTAATTCTAACTTTCCACATGGCATATTAAAGATTACAAGATTCAAGGACAATATTATATATTACACACATTTTTTATTTAAGAACTCAAAATTTAAAAGTCTTAAACTTCGTTTCTAGTTAAAGTAAGACACATAAATTGAAACAAATTGCTACGCCAAAATAGTAAATCAATGAAGAGGACTCGTCTCGAAAGGACAACCTAAATAGCTAAGTTACAATTTGAACTGCAATCCGTGAGTTTGGATTTAGAATGAAACATGATCCTATATTCGTATCTCATTGAGAAAATCAAATAGTGAATACTAGATTGTTGATGACAAATCACATTCTTGTTAACAGTGGCGCACAGCAGAAGGTTTTGATCATATAGTTTTAATATTTTTTACACTCGCTTATTAATTAGGCAAACCACAGGATCTGGTCAAATTTGCATAATTTGCACAATTCAAACTCCAAATATGTAAAACAATCAATCTTTAAATTCTTTTCTTAAAAAAGTTAAATTTGATATCTTATACCAACTCGAGACTCATATTACAAGGGGATGTAATAGGGTTACACCCATTGGCTACCCCTTCTTATAAAAAGTAGTCGATTAAGATAGGTTTCACTACTGATTTTTTGTGTAAAAGAATGTACCAATAACAACAACATCAATTCTAAGTTTGTGTAGAAGAATAAAAACTGAAAGAGGTACTCATGATTTCTTGTGCAAAGGAAAGCCGCAAAACATAAAATTTAGGTCCAAGCAAATAAGCCACACATAAACACATGGGTATCGCCCGTGCCTCCAAATTAATTTAGAAAAATTAACCCAAATAGCCGTCACTTAACCGTTTAAACTAAAAATAGCAGGTGAATGTATAATATATAATGTATGTAGATGGCTAAAAAAAAATAAACAGTAAATATAGCCGGCTATTTGTGTAAAGCTCCCCCAAATTTACTCCCAAACCAATTGGGCTTCCGTTCACAACACACAAGACAAGTGGACATTTTGCTTCACAAAAAGCCCATTTACCTTCAGAGCGGCTGATTTACACCAATATCCCTTTTTAGGCCACTTTTTAAATTGTCCCTATTTAAAAATGTGCAAAAAAATTTGTTCATCTTTTTTTAGACACACACTTGTGATGGCATACGGTAGTGATGCAGCTCACATTAAACCAGCCTTTTTCATCGATTGATGTTTTGTTTACATATATTTTAACCCTTAAATAAATATTATTACTTTGGGCGAGTTACAGATTTATGAGTAATATAGTACTTACATGGAAACTAATTTGAAGCTGATTATCACAGCTTTATTAGTATTACACCTGCATTTCTCCACTTTCAAGATGAAGCCTGGTCGCAAAATGGTCACAGAAAATAGAAAGATGAAAAAGTGAAGGGAATTTCTATTAAAAAAAAAAAGAGAGGATAAAGTAACTAAGGATTATGGAAACTACAAATCACTTTTGCCGAGCCCTTTTCCTTTCTTTGGTTACAGGCTTAATTCGATGGTCCTCTTTAACCTTAATATTATGTTGTGTGGATTCCTTAACTTGTGGATTAACAGACTCGAGAATCGGTCCGCGCTTGATTTTTCCAGGCCTCTTGAAGCCCTTCTTAGCTGATAACCAGGATTGCAATGGTACCTTAGAATCAGCATCACCTGGTCTATGATTCTGCCTTCCTAGTTTTCCAGCAATATTGTCTTTCACATTGTTGCCATACTTGGCTTGAAGTTTGTCTTTAGAAGGGCGAGGGCGAACACTTCGTGGCTTCCCAGGTGGATTACCAATTGTTGGAAAGGGCAAGAGGGAAGATGTAGCTTTGTAGTAAGAGCCTTTGTAATGCTGTCGATATGCCCTAGTGACAATGTCTCTTAAAGCCATTGCTGCTTTGTATTCTCTCGTCCTCTTCGAGTAAAATACCATGGCATTATTGGCTAGTAGAAGGAAATCTCTGAAGAGTTCACCTGGTGTTTTGATTGACCAACTGGCCAGTCTTGATTTTACTGTCTCGATATCCATATGACGCCTTATCATTTTCTTGTATCTTGCTCTCTTCTGACTATCAAGACGATGCCTGAAGACCATAGCAGCTTCATGCAGTGTAATAGAAGTGAAAATCCTCATCAAGTCATCGTTCCTAAACCTAGATAAGCCTCCTCTATGATCGTTTACTGGAGAATGCCTAATACTATGCTCACAACTGGTTAATGCTTCTTTACAGTGAGAAGTGGAGGCGAGACTGGTAGAACATACATTGTCACTCTCCTCAATGCTCCCTTCTTTGGCATCCCAAACGGCGTCTTTTCTTCTCCTCTTACCTCTTCTCTTCCTTACAGCCCCTCCATTTCCATTGGAAGCTTCTGTCACCTTGCTTGTACTTGGAACTTTGTCCCGTTCACAAGACTCTGAACGTTCTAGCTTTACATCTGTCAGGGGTATGGTGGGAACCTGAGACTCAGGGGACTGGTTTGTTCTAATATCAAGCGTGAAGCTGCCAGCAGACAGCCCATCTTTTGCTTCATCTTTCACAAAAGACTCAATATCTTCTGATTTTGTCGGAGGAGCAGGAGATTCAGTGCGACTCAACCCATAGTCTATCTGATCAGATTGTTCCCTCTCAGCCTTTAGGCTTTCAATCTTTGACTCAAGAAATCTGACAATGAGCATAGAGATAAAATATGGGAATCACGGTGTTAAGGAAACAGAAAATTATGGGACCAAGAGACTGCTCATTGCATACATATATTAACCATTTGGCTCATGGAACAGGAGTTTTATGCCATTCAGATGCAGAAAAAAGTGACAAAACATCAGAATTCATTTATGGAGCCTAAGTTTATGCCAAACATCACAAGATAACATGACTCCGCATTTCCTGATACTTTCTTCTTTCTCCTTTCTCGTACTTTTCCAGATTTATTTTCTCTTATTTAGGGCCAGAGAAAAGTGAGCTTTGTGGGGGTGGGGGGTGGGGAAGGAGGTGTATGAGAGCAGAAAATATAATTACCAGAGGTCACAAATATTTTTTTATTTAGATTTTCTCCATAGAAATGCATTCAGTGTGGCCAAGAACTTCAAAATGCCAGGATTTATTAGCTAGTATTTGCTTATCAACTTAAAACAAGGAAGCAGCATATTTACTAACCCAATGGAGCTTTCAGATCTCTCCAATTCCCGCTTCAGCTCTTCAACTCGTCGCTTTCGTAACTCTTCAAACCAAGCACTGGCCAAAAGAAAGTTAAACAAGAAGCACATTGGTTACGGCAAGGATGACATCCTACTACACTCAATTATCAGTACCTTAACAGAAACCACCAATCCATTCCAAAAGGCGAGGGATTAAGCTAGTAGTGCATTTACAAGATAAATTAGCTCAAAAAATTTTACACCTCATAAGATGGATATAAAACTTCCACATATGTGTCGAGATGGTAACGGTTTCATGAATAAACTAATATGCTCATGAAGATGAAGAAGTTGACTCACTTGCAGCCAGAGTAGCGCTTACGTAAGTCCTCGTACCTGGTTCTGCAGGCCTGTAGTTAAGTTTTTCGTCAATGAATCATATCAGCATATCGTAGAGTATGGATAAGTATGGAAAACTTAGGAATGGAGAACACAAAGTCGAGAAAATGCAGTGAAGTTGATTTTGTTACAGTTCTATTCATTGGCTAGTCACAGGTCAGAAAAGCACTAAAATTATGGGGGAAAAAAGTTACTATACTTCATGGTTTCCTTATCTTTGGTTAGTGAAACAAAAACATAAAGTAACCAAGAATCACAAACATATAAAATGTGTTGAACCACAAACTAAAAAGATCCCAATATTCATTGGGGTCGCCTCTTTATTTGGCAGCCACATATTAACTAATAAAGACAAAGTTTAGGCTACCCCAACACCATTATGACACACCAAAAGCTTTAGAGTTCAGATTCTGGTCCACCTATTCTTCCTGCCACATAAATTAGGTTCCTAATGGCGACCCCTCTACATCAACAATATTTATGTAATTATATCTACTCAATTTTAGTAGGACAGACAGTGACACAAATACACAACCAAACAATTCACTATTTATCCAAAAACGTAGTATTGTTTTCCTACAAGGAAATTTCCACTGCTGCTACAAAAGAAGATTTGTAGTAGCATTGAGTGATACTCAACGGGAAATATTTACTCAGACCCGATGCATGCGCCAAACTATGATATTAACATAGCCAATGATAAATTAAGCTAGGAGTACATTGTAAATAGTAAATTAATTATGATTAAGTGATAAACTTTGTGCAAAAAAACATGTCATTTACTTATTGCTTTGGTGCATGTAGTGAGTGTAAGTGGTCAAGATGCACAGATTTTAAAACTCTAAATCCACCCTGGACCAGACATAATTCAAAATTAAGGTTGTTGTCTCGTTTAAATTGATATTTTTTTATTTAATTATTTAATCCTATTTAATTATTCCTATGAGATAGGCCCCACAAAATCAAATAGATAAGGAGATACACAACAAAAGAAAACAAAACAAATACCCGACAAAGGACAATAATTCTTCCATAACAGAAGAAAAAAAAAGCGGAGATTACGAACAGACCAAAATATAAACAAAAGAAGTGTTGTCGCTATCATAATGTGATAGGGGCACGTAACGTAAATAAGTGTAAACCTCGGGGGTAAAGCAATAAGGATATACAGTCCGGGCACGGAGCTCCGATGCGACGACGTTCCAATCTCTCGTCCCATGTCGGCGAACAGCGCCACCGAGTATAAGCTCTTCCCACGTACCCCAATTCATCTTCCTGGGCCCCACATCCATTTCCCCCTCCATTAACCGGCTCAAACAATCCAGAACCTCCACGTGTACGGCTCAGATAATTTCTAGACAAAAATAATGTCCCACCCTTAGAGTTTCTAATTTGACTCGACCCGACCTGACACCAAGTTTCTCTAATCTCAGCACCCGGCGCACGTTAGCAACAACCACCACGGCGGCAAAATATCACCGGAAATTACAAAAAAAGGAGGGGAAAAGCTGCTTTTTGGGGGTTGAAGATAATGGAAAATCATGCTTTTTTTCCAATAAAGGTGGTTTCCTGGACGTAAAATGCAAGGTTAGAAGGTTGATTTCTGAAAAGTTCAGTTTTTTAATTCCTTTTTTGTGTGTTCAGAATTTGTGGTAATTTTGGTTAGGGAAGAAAAAGCGAGAGAAAAGGGGTTGACGGAATTCTGTGAAGGTTGAAGATAAGGGAATTCAAGTGAAGAAGTATGGAAAAGAAAGGAAAAAGGAGGAAAATTATTGATGAAGAATGGTTGTTATTGGAAGAGAAAAACATGGAGATTACTGTTTGTTTCTCGAGAATTTTGGTTTACCTGAAATCGAAATATCTCTCTCCCTCTCTCAGGCTCTGCACCTCTGCAGGACGAACAGTGGAAGACATTTTCTTTATTTTTGGGGTCAAAGTGTTAATTTTTATAAACTAAAATGATCCCTGAAGTTTAAAAAATGAGGTATGTCCCCCATAACGTATATCCATTTGTGGAATGGACTATTGTCGTGTTAAACGTGTCATGATGTGAGTGATTTGGAATTTAATGGCCCAATGAGATTGAGTTTTACATACATATACAGTGTGCCATATAACTGATTATATAGTAAGTTAATACGTAGTATTTTATTTTTTAAGTTCCTATTAAAAAATTTAAGAAAAATTAATTTGTTATTCTAAATCAATATAATTCGATGATGCCAAAAATATATATACAGCTTTAAACTTATATGTCTAATCTGTGGAGAGAAATAAATTAATTACTCCTGCACAAATAATAATACGGAGTAACCAACTTCACCAACAACACTGTGTAATTCCACAAATGGGACGGAGTAAAACTTAAATGAAGGAAAAAAAAATATTGATAACCAACTTAGTTTACAGTGATACTTTTGTGTTTGGACTTAGGTCGTTTTAGGGTCAATATTAAAATACCTTTCAAATAAGGTGCGTAATTTGATGCTCCAATGCCTTCTTTAACTTCTTTCAGATCTAGAAGGGCAATTCCGGATATTTTTAGCTCTCAGATATACACATATAATTTGATTCCACAGCACTGAATTCTGCCAAACCCGCTAACTCATTGTTGGATCTACCATTGTATAAATTTTAGACGGTTCTCCAAAACTTATCTAGGAAAATAGTCAAGAAAATATCTGAAATGTTTAGAAGATCAAAGGAAAATTGTAGTTAAGCTCAGATTCTGTTGCGCTATTTTGCCAAAGGGATTAAAGTTTGTGAAAGTACTTTCTATTTATATTTTCTTCTATATGTCCGAGACCTTTTGCTTGGTGTCCATTTCAATTGATGTCTAGTGTCTTCCCATTTCAATTGTGCAACTTTAATTCTTCTTCTAATATTGCACCAGTTTCGATAGCAACTGAAACTCTATAGTAAACTTGAGAACAAAATACAATATTTTGAGTTTCGATAGCAAGAGAAGAAAAGGCGTATGAACATATGTTTCATTGATCAAATGATGTAATATACATCCAATTTTTACTATTACAGTTTACAGATACATGTACACAACTTACATATGGATACATACAGCCAGGAACTTTAAATATGTTCATGCCGTATTTGAAAGAAGACAGCCATCGCCAAAAGGTTATATGTCGAGAATTTTACAGTTGCCTCCCAAACCAGTTGCAGTGGCAGAGGACAGACATTGCATCTCCTTCTTGCCTGTTTTCCGCTATTACAAGGTTGTTGAAAATGGTAGCAAGCGTGGAAATCCGACGAACAAAATTGTGGGAGTCCAAAAGGCGCCCATCAGTTCGATAATATCTATTTAGCTAACTTCCATTCTGTTAAACTGGACTACGATTCTTGAAGTAGGAGATTTAATTGTAATGCACCTTTTGCCAACAGACCACTTCTCCTACAATAATAGAATGTCAGCAAAAATTGAGTAGCCAACAAAATCAAGACACAAGGACTCTGGGCTTTAGCTGCTTTAGATATGTAAGAAAAGGAGGTAAAGATATCAACTAATTCTAATTGACAACAAGTTGCATCAATCTTGAATATTTCAAAAGTTCAACGCACACCTATTGATTAGAAAATCAAGCCTTAGGCCCCTGTCCTCCAAACCAAACATGTTCAGACACCACATCATGAAGCTTCAGGACTCGGGTCAGTAAGCTTCCATGATGGAAGTATACATTTTTCAATGTACAAAACTGAAGATAGATGAAAATGATTGGAAATCCACCCTCTTTAATAATATCCCTTGTCCAATGAAGCCAGAACCTAAAGATGTTCATTACTTAGTTTGAAGTTTGTTGTGCATCATTGAATATGAAGCTTGCTTACAACACTTAAATTGATGATTCTCAAAAAAAGTGCGGCGCTACTTGTCATTTTTCTGACTTAGAAATTCTAATTGAAATCTAGCAACTCTATCCCAAATCCAGAGAGGTTGAATTGGACCACCAATAAAATAAAATCATAATAGTGAAAAGTAAAAAGTGGATTCTTAATTACCTAATAAGTGCTGGAAGTACTTTCTGTATATCTTGGAGATAGACGAAGCACTGTTTGCAGCACTGGATTCTGTTTTAGAGTGTAAGAAATTAGAGACAACCAGACATGCAAGTCGTTTGTATTTACCATCACCCAAGCAGAAAAATGAAAAGTGAGCTGCCTAATCAAGTTAAGCAACCTTACCTTTCTTCTGCATGAAGATCAACCCCTACAGATGGAGGTGCTAAAATGGCTGAGCGAACTACCGGCCCAAAGACTGCAACAAGTTTCAACAGCAGCTCCAGGGAAACATTTGCATGCCTGTGGGAGGACAAAAAGGACGAAGCATTCAACATGTAAAGAAGGAACTTTTTTTTAAACAAGGGAGAACTGTGAAATTTAACAGTGAAATCGGGAAAAATGTTAACAGTAGAATTCCATAAAATCAAATAAATGTAAGGCAACCCTACCACATCCACATAGACAAAACCATGAAACTTAGTGGGCGTTTGGACATAAGAATTGTGAAATCCCGAAAAAAGTGAAACATTTTTTTGAAGTGAAAATGGTATTTGAAAATTAGAGTTGTGTTTGGACATGAATATAATTTGGAGTTGTTTTTGAGTGATTTGAAGTGAATTTTGAAAAACAGCTTTTTGGAGTTTTTCAAATTTTGGAAAATTTCCAAAATTCAACTTCAAGTGAAAATTTTGAAATTTTCATGGCCAAACACTGATCTCGAAAAAAAAAGCGAAAATTTTATGGAAAAAATGAAAAATTTCTTATGGCCAAAAAGGCCCAATTAAAGCTACTAAACCATCTGAGAAAATCACTTTTATCTTCTTAGCTTCAATTGGACCTATTCAGAACCACATTAAACACTGATAACAAAACCACATAAAATATCAAGGTTTGAGAAGACCTGTATGTCATTGCTCATTCTTTTTTGTTCCAGCCTTCCAAATTTATTTATTTCCGTATCTGATAAAACTTTTAATTCCACAAGATGGAGAGGAAAAAATCAATAAAGTTATTTTCCAGAAAAACAAAACCACAAATGGATTGATTGGTCACCCCTTAGATGATGGTATGAAGAAATAAATAATCACCACGTATAAGGTAGTCATTATTAGAGCAGCACTTTAGTTAATATTTGAAGGAATGTCAAAGTGGAAGCAAAGGCCGACATGTCACAATTTTCGACAATCAAGAGTGGGAGTATGAAGGTAAACTATTATGACTTTGAAGAGGTAAATAAGTTAATACATAGCAAACAACTAAATCTGCATCACTACATACCTTTCTACCTTACTATCAAGTAAGGTTAACAGTACAGGCAGCAAGCAGGAAAACAAATCCAATGTGATAATCTCCATTTTATCTACGAGGACACTAACAACATCGGCTTGTACCTGCAACAGGATATAAATTTAAGAAACACGTTAAAGTATTTGTCAAATATAATATTTGGGAAGAGGCCATGACAGAGAAGTTTCAATGAATGCTCACGGAATGGTCTGGCAACTTCCTCAAGGCATTTATAGCACCCCTAATGTCATTCCGTTCCCAAAAGTGATGAACTACCTGAGAGGTTAAAAGACTATACTTGTCAGAGGCTTCAAGCATTACAAAATGACAAACAGATTTCCTATATCATAAGTATCAAACAGAAAGATCTTCAAATTTCCTACGAAGTCTGCATGCCACACTGTTTTGAAACGCGTAACCAGAAGCTCAAGTTACAAACTATCATCAGCTAAATGTTACCTGCAGCTTTGTCAGCCGAGATCTAAACGAACTTAGTAGCACATCATGGCTCTGCATAAGATCTTCAATAACAAAATTATCATTCTGAGCTGACTCACACTGTGCAATAGTCTGCTGATCTGTATTCTGCATGTATGCAAAAAACAAAGAGTTGGGCCAATGTTGTAATCGCTGCACGGGCCAACCATCATCTAGTTTACCAAATATAGATTGAAATATTGAAAGAGAAAGCTGCAATACAGTCAATGTTACAAGTGAAATCAGTTTTGACCCTAACTCCACCTCCATTTCCCTGTCTCAACTTCCGAGATGGAAGGGGAAAACAAAGCTGGGAAGCAGAGCTTCATTTAAAACATGGAGAAAATGAGAAAAAGAGCTTCATTTAAAACATCGTTCGTGCTTCCAAATAATCCAATTCAAAGCTTAATCAAAGAATTGTTTTGTGGAGTTCTACCATGAAGAAAAAGTTTAAAAAATGAAAATATACTAACTCTTTGTAACGGTAACTCTTTAAGACACTGTACAAGTATATTATCTGTTAAGTTCTCTACTTGCACTAACTAGAATTTCTTATGTTCACAAAATCAACAAGCACTTTTAGCTATTAAAGATTTTTTTTGGGCTTGCACAATTTACTTAGCAGTTAGCACAGTGCAGGACATGTATATCAGCATTTGCACCATTACTTAGAACATAAAGGTATGTCTGATACACATAAACCAAGCAATATCAACATATCCACAAAACAGAACCACGTAAGAAACAATCAAGTATAGGTGGCACAAGCTCAATACCAGCAAAGGGGCTGTTAATGGTTCCTCAGCATTAGAACCAGAAGACAACAAGCGGAATGTTTGTGCTTCCTCAGCTTTAGAACGAGAAGCTAATAAACGTGATGTTTTAGCTTCCTCTGTTTTTGAACGAAAAGCTGACAAACGGGATGTTCTTGCTCCGGTTCTAAACTTAGAAACAGGCATTGGGGATGCTTCCAGTTCCGCAGCTTTAGGACGAGAAGCTGGCAAACGGGATCTTCTTACATTCTCAGGTTTAATCTGTGAAGATGGCACAGGGGATGCTTCTAATTCCTCAGCTTTTGAACGAGAAGCTGGTAAACGGGATTTTCTTACATCCTCGGATTTAACCTGTGAAGCTGGTTTAGGGGAAGCTTCAAATTCCTCAGCTTTGGAACAAGAAACTGGTAAATGAGATGCTCTTACTTCCTCAGATTCAAACTGAGAAGCTGGCATAGGAGATGCTTCTAACTTCTCAACATGAGAAGCTGGTAAATGGGTTGTTTTTACTTCCTCAGATTTAAACTTAGAATCTGGCTTATTGGAT